CTTCCCATATACGCGATAAACATGTTGACGAAATTTCAGCCGTTGTTTTCCGGCAAGTTTCCGAGTTAGCAAAGTACCAAGTTGCAAACTTTGACGTGATCGTACGCGCTGCACAAGCATGCGCGACAGCTGAATTTGAAAACTCTAGCTCGCACATGCACAAAGAATATACTTGCAAAGTTTTAGATTTATATCTTATCTGGTTCGCGAAATCGTTTCCCGTCAAAGAAATTTGCGTATTTTTTTTTTCGAAGAATTCGTACGCGCAGTCTAGGCACATATGAGCAAAAATTTTAAAAAGTGAGAATGACACATGGGGTGTGGGCATAAACTCAAAGTTTTAGTTTCCCAGCTTTCCTGGTTGCTGAGATGAAAGTGGATGACAAAGTTCACTCGCTTCCGAACACACACAGACGACCTCTCGACAATATGCGTTCTTGCTGGCTGTAGCAGCGCTGCACAGCAAAAACGCATAATAAAAATGCAAATTTGAAGGAAATCGGAAGAGAATTATGAAGTCTGCAAAAATGCACTCGCGTATGAGTTTGCGATAAAATTGAGTATTTTTCATGCCTGCGTGCAGGGAATTTCACCTTCAAACTGAATTAAGACCACATGTGAATATAGAATATACTTGCAAAGTTTCAGCATCACACTCTGTCTGATAAGTGAAATGGCTATTTCACTACAGATATCTTGAAAGCGCTCAAGTCGTGGCGTAAGTGCAAATCGAAACTCGATTTAGATATACGATTTTCCATATGTACAACAAATATTCTGACAAAATTTCAGCTACTGTTTTCAGGCAGTTTTCAGCTACTATTTTTTTTTCGGTAGCACAGTGCCAACTGCGAACTTTTGCATGACTGTATGTGCGGCATAAGTTTTTGCGATAGCTGAATTTGAAATCTTTAGCTCATAGACGCAAAGAGAATATCCTTGCAAAGTTTTAGCTTTCTATCTTGTCTAGTTTACGAAATCGTTTCCCGTCAAAGAACTCTGCATATTTTTTTCGGGCTTCCATACGCGAGATCTAGGCGCGTATGACCGATGACTTTAAAACGGAACGGTAACGCAGAGAGTGGGGATATGATCCAAAATTTCAGCTTTCCTGGTTGTTGAGTTGAAAATGGGTGACAACGTTCACTCGCTCGCGAACACACACACACACACATGCATGACCTCTCGATAATATGCGTTTTTGCTCACTGCAGCAGCGCTAGAGCGCTGAACAGCAAAAACGTATAAAAATTCACCTGGTAGTCGATCTCCATGAATTTGTGTCGTGTTTTGTCGACTGTCTGGTAAAAACAGTGATGTTTGCTCGGCGGCACTTCGATTGTATACGAATATTCCGCTGCAAGCGACATTGTCACCAGAATGCAGAAGCTGCACAATAAATAGATTGAAGCACCCATTACGTCCTGCAAATTATGCACACTTCAGCAATGGGGGAACATAAATCGATTTCGGTTTTACGCAACAAAAAACCGATTTCGTCCTCAGCTTAACGTACTAAAACAAGCAATATCATACGTTCGTAATGGTTAGCTCTCAGTAATCTAGCTAATGCTAGTCACACCGGCACGAATGTTTTTCGAGATCCGATGATGAGGAATAACAGATGAACCGAACGGCACAGACACGCACACACAC